AGGGCCAGGGCAGAACGAAGTTCAGAGAGAGAGAAGGGATCATTATAGGGAAGCTGAAGATGAGTGCAGAAATCTAAAGGACGAGACTCAAGGACAGGTTTACGAAGAAGGAAAGATTGGGGAAGATGAAGACCAGAGCTAACAGAAGAAAAGTGGGAACCCAGTTCGGAAGCGACCTGCAACGGGTCCGCCACAAGAGTATCATGGAGGTGAAGGACCGGTGAAACATCGGGAACGAACTTACCCGCTATCTTGCGGATACGCTTCCAGATCTGGGCCAGAGGGGTTTCGGACGTAATTGTTGAGACATAAGATGCCCAACATTCACGTTTAGCCGTACGGATGGCCCTACGGGCCACCGCACTCGCTTTCCGAAAGAAAAGAAAAGAATCGGTCGTCTGCCTACGGCGGTGCCTCTTCCAGGCTGCACGCTTACAGCGGACAGCCCGAGCACAGTCCGCATTCCACCAGGGAACGCACTTCCGCGGACCCCGAGAGGAAGAGCGAGGAATAGAGCGGAGGGCAGCGTTGAAGACAGTGTCATGAAAAAGGAGGAGAGCGCGAGAGAGAGGCAGAAGGGAGAGGTCAGAGAGAGCAGCACTGAGGGTAAATAGGGTCCAGTCTGCCTTAGCAAACTGCCACCTAGGGAAAGAGAGGGAAGGGCGAAAAGAGAAAAAGGAAACAAGGATGGGGAAATGATCACTTCCATGGAGGTCATCAAGAACCTGCCACGTGAAATCTAAGTAAAGAGAAGAAGAGCAGAGAGAAAGATCAAGACAAGAAAGGGTGCGAGTCCGAGAGTCCAAATGAGTGGGCTCACCAGAATTCAGAAGAGACAGGGAAGAAGAGAGGAGAAACGGCTCAAGGAGGCGACCCCGGGTATTCGTCAGAACGTCACCCCAAAGGGAATGACGACAATTGAAGTCACCCAGCAGGAGCACAGGCTCCGGCAAGGAGTCTAGGAGGTGTTTCAAATCAGGAAGAGAGAGCGGGACACTCGGGGGGAGATAAATGGAACAAACTGTGTACCATTTCCCCACAAAGATACGAGCAGCAGAACAATGGAGAGGCGAAGGAAAAAGTAAAGGAACAAAGGGAACATCAGCACGAATCAAGAGAGCAGAAGAATTAGAAGCCCCAGCAATGGGGGGGGGGGGGGGAGAGAAAGGAATAGCCACGAAAACGACCAGGACGAGCACCAAGCATTGGCTCCTGGAGACAGACACAAAGGGGCGAAAACCGCGAAATCAGAAGTTGGAGTTCGAGGAAATTGGCGTAATAACCTCGAACGTTCCATTGAAGAATGGACAACGACGAGAAGAGAAAGGACAAAACCAGAGAACAAGGAAGAAACCAAGGCGAAAGAGCAACAGAGCACGTTAAAGAATATCAGGGTCGGGATCAGGGTCAGCAAAGTCAGGGTTAGGGGGCATGGGTAAACTGAGCAAAGACGGAGGGAAGGAAACGGGAGAACAGATCAGAGGGGGGCGGGCGGGGTCCGGAGGAGGAGGAAGAGGAGGAGACAACGGAGAGGAGCAGTCAAGGACAGCAGCAGGAAGAGGGGGAGTAGAAAGAGGGGAGCGCACCCCAGCAAGAGCAGCAACCGAAAGGGAAGCAGGGGCCAAAGAAACCTCCATAGCAGGAACAGGGGGCGCAATCACTGAAACGGGAGGGGAAGGAGCAACAGAACCAGACGTAGGAGCTGAGGAAGAAAGCGAAGCCTTCTTACCCGCCGGGGAAGAGGAAGGAGAGGAGCCAGGCTTACGCTTCTGACTTAAAGAGACCGGTGTCCCAGCAACTACGTACCGGGCAACGGATTCCAGTGTCTCAACAGGAGAAGCCGAACGAGAGCACACACGACGGCCGCTAGGAGAGCGATGGACATCCGCCCGCACCGACAGGCGGTGGGGAGAGCCGATAGATGGAGGAAGAGGATGGGAAGGAGGATCGGAGGGGGACGAGGAAGAAGACACAGGAGACACGACAGACCGGGTAGAAGGAAGGGGAACCCCGGACAGAGGACCAGGAGGATCCTTCGGGAGAGAACCCAAAGGAACAGAGGAGGGGGCAGTGGGCGCATCAGGGTCCAAGGCCCGGAAACGGTTGTGAGTCTGAGGAAGGCGGGAAGGACGAGGAGAGGAAGAGCGCAACACGCGAGCATAAGAGATATTAGCATAAGGCGGGAGCCGGCGAACCTGGCGTCTCGCCTCAGGAAAAGATAAACGCTCCCGGTGCTTCAAGTTGAGGACGGCTGCCTCAAGCTTGAAATGGACACACGCACGGGAGAAGGTAGGATGGGCCTCACCGCAGTTGAGGCAACGAGCCTGGGGAGAAGTGCACTCCGACTTAGAGTGACCTTCGCCACCACACAAAGGACAGAGAGAGACAGTCCCGGAGCAGCGGAGGGCACCATGCCCAAACCTCCAGCACTTGTTGCAGAGCCGAGGAGAAGGAATGTACTCCTGGACAGAGCACCTGGCACCAGCAAGAATGACAGAGGGTGGAAGGGTCCTACCATCAAAGGTAATCTTCACAACCCGGAGGGGTTGACGGCGACTACCACGAGGGGGACGAGTAAACGTGTCCACCTGGAGAATAGAATGGCCCTGGGCAGCAAGGATATGTCGAATATCGTCGTGGCAGTCGCGCAGGTCCCGAACACCGGTCGCAACATGGGGCGGGAGCAAAATAGTGCCAACACTGGCATTCAACTGAGCGTTCTTCGAGACCCGAACAGGGGTCTCGCCAAGGCAGGATAAGGCAGCCAAGCGGGAAGCAGCATCCTGAGAAGGAGCAGCAACGACACGTGTACCGAGACGAGTGGGGTTGAAAGTAATGGAGGCATCCACGGAATCAACGAGATGTCGATGGAGGGAGAAATCGTCAGGAGGCGCAGAATCAAGAGGGAGGAGATCAAAATATTTGGCCCACGACGCGGGACCAAACAAGGCTTGATAGGTAGCAGAACTGGAAGGAATCGAGCGAGGGCGGCCGTGACGAGGACGGCGGTGAGAACCCCCAGAGAGAGAGGGGTTAAAAGGCGCAGTAGTTACAACTAGAGAAGGAGCCGCGCCAGGGGACGAGGTAGTCACCACTGGGGGCTTGGGGCTCGACCCAACCACAGAGGAGGGAGGGGAGCCAGGGGAAGGAGTCAGAGAGGCCAAAGGAGGAGCAAGGTCGGGGCCCAATGCAGCGGAGGCTACAGAGCCCGGTCTTCCAATACGGACCGACTCGGGGGCTTGGTCGCCCACCCCACGAGCCTGAGAAGGTACACCAGAAGCAGCCGAAACAGGGGTTATCATCATGACGAAAAAAGAATTCATTCACGAATGTGCCCCCACACCCACCATGGAGCCACAATTAGAGGCAGGACACCCAACAAGAAGCTATCGCCGATCTTGCCGGGGCCTCCTAGGGGTGCGTCGTGAGTATACGCCCCACAAACGTCACCTTAAGAAACCGACAGTCCGTCGAGATCGGGTTCAGTGACGAAAGGGGGATTGACAATAAAAGGTTCCCCTCGCTCTCGACGTCGGGTACTACAGTTCTACGGGTGCAAGAGTATGCCTCCTCAAGCACCCGGGCGTCAAAATAGAAGAAGTCCAAGGGAAGAACCAGAACGAGCAAAAGGTCGGCAGGAAACGGCAAGCAGATAGGAGAAGAGGGGGGAGAAAAACGAAACAGAAGGAAAAGGAAAAGATGCCCAGCAGAATTGGAGAGGACGGCAGCAGGAGCACAAGGCTAGAAAAGGACAGAGGACTGTCCCAAGGAGCATCACACTCCGGCAGCCGTCCACTAAGCCCCCACACGGCGACAACGAGCTGAGCGGGGAGGGGGTCTGGGCAAAATGTTTTGGCGATATTGGTGGACGTATCTTCTATATAGTATCTTGTACTTTGACGTAATGATGTAGAGAAGAGCAGGCTCAATCTCTCTTGAAAGAGATTATCGTCACAATATATATTGGGGGATTGGGTAGCACACAATGTGTGTTCAATATAACAACTATGATATAAGATGATATCAATGAATACAATGGTAAAGTTATATGGCTTAGGTACATATATTGGGGGATTGGGTAGCACATAATACAGATACAGCAGATACAGATAACTACTACATATTTACTTCTAATTTTGTTATGAAATTAGATTATTTCAAAGTAAAAATAGGTTTGATCATGTTCTGCACTCAGCACCAACATTATAGTGAGCAAATACCATATTTCTTCATTACTTACGTAATGCTAGCAGGATTTGGGTAATTCTATAGACCAGTTGCAATTTGTTTACAAACCTAATGTTCTCTAGGTGTGCAACCAGTCTTAACCTGATTATTCTTTCAAGTATTTTATAGGGGATGCTTGTCAGTGATACAGGTCTATAGTTAAGTGCCTCTTCCCTATCCCCTTTCTTTAAAACTGTTACCACATTTGCCTTCTTCCAGCACCTGCGCAACTCTCCCATCGTAAGTGACTCATTATTGATCCTTGCTGGAGGCACGCTGAGGGCCTGCTCTGCCTCTTAGTATCCACAGTGATACATTATCTGGTGCAACTACTTTAGTTTCATTGTGATGTTAGCCGTTTCATTAATTCCTCTGCCGTCACCTCTACATCTGATAGTCTCTCCTCTTCTAACAATGGGAGCTGCTCAGGGTCGGTTGTGAACACTCCATGAAAACTGGCATTCAGTATCTCGCAAATTTCCTCATCACTTTCCAAATATGCCCCTTCTGTGTTCCATAGTTTTATCACTTGGTCGTTCACCGACATTTTCCTTTCAGTACTATGCAGTACTGGTAATTTAGGTTTTTTTTTTTTGCTTTGATCGCAGTATCATTCTCAATTTCTTTCTGATACTCATATGTTAATGTAATTGTTCTTAGCTCTGTTGCATCTAATCCTGTTGTCCTCTGTACTTCCTCCACTCCATGTGTGTGTGTATGCATGGTATATGTAAGTATGCCTCCCAACACTGATTTTTAACCCCCCACCACAGGCACAGTTGACACAGGATGTGGACGAGACACAGACGGGGATGAAGAAACTGGCAGAGGCAGTACACGTGGTGAAGACCTCCCTCTCAAGCAAGCTGAAGGATGAGACCAAGCTGCGGGAGCAGGAGGCTGGCCTCCTGAGGCGAGACGTGGACCTCCTCAACACCAAGTACACGGAACTCCGGGAGAAATACAAGCCCAAAACCACAGCTGCTGCCTCCTAACTTCCCAGGCTCCCACAACGCCTTCTTACAGTGTATATAACATAACCGGTTACCTTCGTAAATTATTCACTATAAACAAAACCATTTAAATAAGACAAGATGAATTATTAGAATGTAGAGAATGAAATGTTTAGAACTTACTGAAAATATTAACATCTTTTATCTGTTAAAAGTGTTACAGATGATCAGAAACATCTAATGCGACATAAAAACTGCACATGTTCAGCTGCTGCTTAACAATGATTAACATGTGCATATGACACCTTGATGAAATATTAACATTTCCATAACAACAGTATGGCTTGGCTACTGTATTGTTCATGACACCCTTGCTGCAGGATATACAACAACAGTATGACTTGGCTACTGTATTGTTCATGACACCCTTGCTGCAGGATATACAACAGTATAGCTTGGCTACTGTAATGTTCATGACACCCTTGCTGCAGGATATACAACAACAGTATGGTTTAGCTACTGTATTGTCCATAAGTTTCTCTCTCAAATGGGGTGAGAATAGCTTGAACTACTGCATGCCTTTGTATGTACCCCTGTATTTATACCTCGATAAACGTCTTTCAATTTCCTAAGCTCCTGCCGAGAAGTGGAGTTTAAGACTAGAGGTCTAGATATTGAGTGCATATAACTTGCATGACTGTCACCAATGTTGTCATGCAACACTTCAAGTTTTACATTCAAAGTAAGAATGATGTGATCAAAGTAGGTTAGGGAGCATGTAGTTAACATTAACTCATTATTATAATCTATTTATTTGTTATCAAATATTTCTCTATACATTTTAGTTATTTGAGTAAACTATTGTAGTGTGTACTGCTGCATCAAGTTATTGGATTACATATTATTTAGCTAATTATAATTTTTTGACTTGAGAAAATAGAAATACTATGATGTAATGTTGTCAAACTAAAGTTGTTTCTGAGGATGAATAATCCAGTGTTAAATGGTGGGTGGTGAGGGTGACTTGGTGAGCTAGGTGCCTGGTGAGCGCCAAGCTTCCCAAGCACCAACAGGCCAGTGTGACTCACAAGTATCTACTGGAGACCACAACCACAATTTATTCCACTCATTGCAAGCTAAGGGAGTCTGGGAGTACAAGATCAAGCCAAGAGGAAAACCCCACCGAAGGCCAGAGCACCCCAAAATTATCAACTGCATAGACACATTAGCAACCCTGTTAACTATACACACATACACATTTAGCCAATTACTACCATTACTTAGTTCAGTTCAGGACTGAACTTCAGAAAGACTTTTAGAGTAAAATGGTGAGAGAAGCTGCTGAAGGGCAAATGGAGTCCATGCCAGACAATCCCAGGGATAGCAAAACGGGCAATACTGGAGAAACGGGCACAGCAAATAAAGCCAAACCCCGCCAAGTAGCAGCCTGTCCTCTGAACAAAGACCCAAAAGTGATTCCATGCACCCACCAAACCCAGTTTATGAATGAAAAACGGTTTACACATGACTCTGCTGATTTCGTTCGAACACTTCTGGAACAAGTGCTTCACTGACTAATTTTGTTTGAACCACAACGCTGTAAATGCTTCACCCACGTACTACAAATAATTGCCAACAGAGGCTGAACACCTAACCTATGCCTATATATGCACAATATGCTAATATATTATAATATTAATATATATTTGAGAAGATTCCTGTTTTGAATGAACTGTATATAAAAATTGATGAATGCATCTGTGGGGTCGATCGCTGGATGTAATGGACTCGAGTCGAGGACGGGTTGCCAAATAGACAAACCATGCAGGCAAAATTGAGGCATTTGCACAACTGCTCAAGCTGCAGCTGCAAAGCCCAGACACTCCACACTAAAACACAAGAAGCCAAATGGAGTGTTGGATGCAGAGATAATGAGACCATCCTGGAGACCGAAATGAAGCCCCCCCCCCCCACACACACAAGTCTAGCGGTGACTGAAAAAAATAGTAGTAGTAAAAGAAAAAACAAAAACCTCTGTTGGGTTCCGTAGTAGGCCCCTTGTTCCCCAGCCTTCCCGTTCCAGGGGATTGAGGTACAGTATGTTCTTCTGTAGCACACGTGTGATACCTGCTTGATGGGGTTCTGGGAGTAGTTCTACTTCCCAAGCTGGCTGGAGCACCAAGTGATGTGCCAGCTGGCTGGAGCACCAAGTGATGTGCCAGCTGGCTGGAGCACCAAGTGATGTGCCAGCTGGCTGGAGCACCAAGTGATGTGCCAGCTGGCTGGAGCACCAAGTGATGTGCCAGCTGGCTGGAGCACCAAGTGATGTGCCAGCTGGCTGGAGCACCAAGTGATGTGCCAGCTGGCTGGAGCACCAAGTGATGTGCCAGCTGGCTGGAGCACCAAGCTACTAAGACTGTCATCTGGTGGTCAGGAAGTGTAACTAACTAGTGGTGCTAACGGGCTAACCAGTATGTATACGTAGTTAACAAGATTTCCAATTTTTCTCCATGCAGTTGTTTATTTTGAGGTATTCTACCCTTAATGGCAGCTGTTTCCCCATAGCTTGGGTTGATCCCCAGACCCCACCTTTGAATCTTGCAAGTGAACCAGACGTTGCTTCTGGTTTCTAGCAGGTGCTTATTGTTAAGCGCGAGAGGCTTGGAGCTAACTAGGCTCAGGGAACTGCTGAGGAAAGCCCTCCCAGAAATGTATTGCTGTATTATCCCAAGGTTAAATTTAGGCCTTGGGCCAGATACTGAAACTGTGTGCATGCATGTGTGTGTGAAACCAATTTTCACCATTATTTCATTTCACCAAACCAATTTTCTCCATTATATCCACTGGGCCAACTACTGACCATCTCTATAAAAGCTGTCTAGCTCTCAGGTACCTATTCACTGCTGGGTGAACAGAGGTATCAAGTGAAAGGAAACGCTTGTGTCTTACCACTGATCAAACTTGGGATAGTCGGTTATTAGGCGAAGACATAGCATACTACACTGTGGTTATGCACTTTTTGTCATTGCCTAAGTGTAGTTACAGGATGAGTGAGAGAGCTACACTCATGGTGTCCCGTCTTCCCAGTACAGTACTCCGTCATATACTGAAACTACGTTGTAGCTACTGACCGAATTGGCCTCCACCATCTCACTTAACGTGTTCCGTCTACCGCTGTTTGCGGAAGTGAATTTTCTAATACTGTATTTTTGGGAAGCTTTGTTTAATTAGCTTAAATCTATGGCCTCTTGTTCTTGAAGTTCCAGATCCCAGGAATTATTCTTTATCAATTTTGTCAATTGCTATTACTATTTTGTATAGTGATCACATCGCCTCTTTTTCTTCTAACTTTGGCATATTTAACATCTCGAGCCTCTCCTTATAACTCTTGTTTTTCAGTTCTAGAAGCCATTTAGTTGCTGGTCTTTGCACTTTTTCCAGTTAACTTATATGCTTCTTAAGATATGAGCACCATACAACTGCTGCATATTCCTACTTTGGTCTCACAAAGGTTGCAAATAATTTTGTTAGTATTTCACCATTCATGTATTTAAAAGCAATTATGAAAATGGAAAGCATAATATATATTCCTCGCACGTTCTTTACATGGTCCTCAGGTGATAGTTTTACATCTAGAACACCCAGAGATCTTTATCAGAATTCCTTAAAGCTTTTCCACATAACTTGTAGGTTGTGTGGGGCCTATTTTCTCCTATTCTGCACTTCATAACATTCTGCATTATTCACAATGAATTTCATATGCTAAGTGGTGCTCCATATAGTTACCTAGATCATCTTAACTGGCATGCCATTCATCTAAGTCACTTATTGTCTATCTGAATCAGCTTAGTATCATCAGCAAATATGTTCATATAATTCTTTATTCAGTTTAGTATGTAGTAGATAGTTATTTGTAGACCATGAACATTACCGGTGCAAAAACTGAACCCTTTGGTACTCCACTAATGATGTTTCTCCAGTGTGATACATTCTCTTATTACTTTCCTCATTTTTCTAGCAGACAATTTTTCATCTATGTTAAGACTTCCTGCCACTCCTCCATTATGTTCCAGTTTCCAAAACAACCTCTTAATGTGATACTTTGTTGAAAGCCTTTTTTAGGTCCAGATAAATGCAGTCGACCCAACCATCTCTTTCCTGTAAAATCTCTGAGCCTTTATCACAGAAACTAAGTAATTCGTTACACAAGACTTCCTGATTGAGAATCCTACTGTATTTGTTGTTATATCACTTCTCTCTAGGTATTCTACCATTTGGTTTTAATTATTTTTCCAATATTTTGACTATTACACTTGTCAATGATACAGGCCTATAATTGAGAGGATCTTCCCTGCTGCCACTTTTGTGGGTTGGAACTATGTTAGCCTTTTTCCACACATCAGCTACAACTCCTGTACACATGGATGCCTGAAAAATTAGCTAAAGTGGAATGCTGAGCTCAGGTGCACATTCTCTCGGAACCCATGGTGAAACTCCATCTTGGCCAACTGCCTTGTTCCTACTTAGCTGAGAACTTTTTCCACTTCGTTTCTAGACCTCTATGTTGTTCTCTGGAATTCTAAGTATCTGGTTCTGTGAATATTTCATTTTGCACACACACACATTGGAACTGTTCATTTAATGTTTCATAAATTTCCTTTTTATTTCCATGAATCTCCTTTCCCATTTTCAACCTCTGAATATTATCCTTTACCTGCAATTTGCTTTCGGTGAATTTATAGAATAGGCCCGATTCTGTTTTACATTTGTCCAAAATCCGTTTCTCAATTTCTTTCCACCTCTCTCCTCACTGTTGTGTAGTTTTCTAACTTCTTTGTATCGCTGGAATGTTTGAGGGTTTGATCTCTTCCTATATTGATTCCATTTTTGTCTTTCTTGGTCTCTGGCACTCACAATTTATGTTGAACCAATCCTATTTCCTTGTTCTGCATCTGTTTTGGTATAAATTCGTTTGTGCCTTCATAATATATTTAACAATACTTGACATACATCTCTTTTACTTTCTTGCTTAACAAGCTTTCCCAATCAAATTCATGAAAGAACTTCAAGTTCTTCATATTATCCTTAACTGAAATAAGTTTTTTCAACTGCTTTTTTCCTCATTCTCTTCTAGATTGTAAAGCATTGTATATTTTATTTCCAATTTCCAAAAGGACAAGAACATTTTTACCAAAGGGTAGAAGGTACTGAAAGTCTAATATCTCTTCCCCTTTCTTGGCAAATCTCAAATCCAGCATCGAAAAAACGTCCCCTTCCCTTATTCTCATAGTCCGTTTAATGTATTAATACACGAATGTCTCCAGGATGAGGTTTACAAATCTACCGGTTCAAAGTCCTCCATTCTTGCTTCGAAGGTCTCCCAGTCTATTGATTTCAAGTGGAAGTCACCGAACACCAAGTCATGATCTATCTTTATTTGCTCTAAATATAATCTCTCATGATCATTATGAAGCCCTCTCTTTTGTTGTCCAGCTCCTCTGACAAGTGCTGCATGCGGGTGGAACGGAGACATGCATGATCATCACTTTATCATCCCAATTACAAATCTCCAGGGCAATTATGTCAACTTCTTGTGGGTTGTCAATCATTAATTTGTTTATCTTTAGTAGTTCTTTCACCAGAATGGCAACACCTCTACCTTTCTTAATTTTCATCACATCTTCAAATTGTGTAGCTCTCAAGAACAGAACCTCATTTAATATATCATCTTTGTTTCCTCTCCGTTAGTCCAACAATACCTGGCGTCTTAAGCTGTATCATATTGTTTAGCTCCAGTATTTTTTATCTCACTCCATCTATGTTAGTAGAGTACAGTATACCACTTTCAGGGATATATTCCCACATTCCTTGTCCTTTACTTCCTCTTTCTTCAATGATTTTGTTGGTTTGCTTTCTTTGTACCATTTCACAGGCCTATCCCTATCACCTTGTAGAAAATGTAATGGATTTCTTCTTTGTTTGCGTGTGCATGTGTATGTTGCCCGGTTGTTTTCATCACCGAGGGTAGACCACCTTGAGCCAACCAGTGGCCCAGAAGACAACTTTATTTGTGTATTTTACCTAATTGTTACATTTAATGGCATCAAATAGTTTGCTCTAATAACTATCATTTCTTATTTTGTGTGCTGCAGGATTTAAATTTATGAATTTAGTGATTCGTGAGCTCCGAAAGGTTGGCAACCGCTGACCTAGAGACTTAACTTGTTCTCCAATCTTGCTCAAACTCCTACATTTAAAATAATAATGTATTGAGAGTTCCAATATTGTGTGAATTTCTGAAAATAATGACAGAAGTAAAACACTGGGCACCGCTCCAGGTTCCAACAGATCAGCAACAAGAAGCAATGATTTAAGACGTAACTAGACCAGCTGATGTATGGTTTTAAAAGTGTAAGCAATAGAAGCTTTACAATGAAGGTGAATTAATACAATCTTTACAATTGTATTAATACGTTGTTTCTTAATATTTAGTTTAATAAATAAAATTAAATACAGTTCAAGACTTTGTTTTACTTGACAAAAGGTTCTAATGTTTTGGGACACCTTTTCCCCGGTGATTTCTA